CGAAGAAAGCGGACAGGGTGCGCCGGAGTGGACGGGGAGACGATCCGTCGCTCCGTCTCTGTCGCACTCACGGGCTGAGCCTCAGGGGTGCGAGAGAGACAGAAAGACGCTTCGGAACGGCTGGGCCGATCACCGTGGGCCGAGGACTGCATCGCAGCGGGACACAGTGGGCCAGAAGACCGGTGGAGGCGGTCAAAACTCTAGATGCGTCTTGAGCTCTGGAGTCGCTAAATGGGACTCGAACCGAACGTGTGACCCCACCAATGGATTGCTCTCCGAACGAGGAATCCATTGGTGGGGTCACACGTTCGGTTCGAGTCCCATTTGGTGACTCTGCAGCTCAAAACGCGTCTAGAGTTTTGGCCGCCTCCACCGGCCTTCTGGCCCACTGTGCGGGATGAGCCACACTGAAAAAAGTGGCTCAATGTATTTTACTGAACGCGTTCAGTAAGGCTCATTTCAATAGAATGTACTGCTCGCGCAGTGACTGCTACGAAACGAGGTTTGATATATTTTACTGAGCGGCTCAGTAAGCGCCGTTCAGTAAATGCTATTGCAGTCCAGTGGACGCTACAAAGCCGAGGGGGAAACGACTGAGAAATTTTGTGTACATCGGATAGGGATAACTCCGGATAACCCGCGGATTACCTCCGGATTACATCGAAAAATTTCCAGGATTACAATTGGATTGCGCCGGATTACCCCAGATTACCTTCGAATTTCCCCGGATTACCCCGGATTACCTCAGAATTTCCCCGGATTACTTCGAAATTTCTGGTTATCCGGATAGCGGATAACCAATTTGCTGTACATCGGATAACCGAAGTCGTTTCCCCCTCGTACAAAGCGCTGTTCCGTCGCGCTCCCCACCACTTGCCTCCTCACCCCCGATGGGGCCCTGGCTCCACCCGCACGCTTCCCCCACCCCTGCTTCTCTGGAGGCGCACTGGCCGGGGCCGCTCAGACGCAGATGTGCACGTGTACCGTCTCTGGAGGCAGGGTCCTCAACGCGCAGGCATGGCCGAGTGGTACGGCGGTTGCGCTGTGATCGGGTGGCCCGGGTTCAACTCTGGGTCGCTGCCATCACAGTGTGGCAAGTCATACGACTGAAGTGAGAGGCAGAGGGGTACGGCGGAGACGGTGCGATGAGCGGGGGGTGGGGGTTGCGATAGACGAGGCGTTGGGGGCAAAATACTTTTGCTGGGCAATGCAATCTACTGAACAGACCAGTACATTGTACTACACCGGAGCAGTGCGATCTACTGAACGCGCCAGTAGCGTCCACTGAACGGGTCGATGCGATTTACTGAACGGACCAGTAGGATGCACTGAGCGGCCTGTTCAGTAGAATCTATTGGCAGGTCTTCACGTCGAAAATTCACTGAGCCGTTCAGTAAAATTTATTATCATGACAGTAAATTCTATTGAAAATTTTTTTCAGTGCAGCACTGTAACCTTTGTCTGTCCTTCGGGGCCCTTCGGGGCCACTTCGGCCACCTCTTCGGGCCGCTCCACTGTGACGTTTCGACCCCTGGACGCCCCTGGCTCGTTCCGGTTCCGAGAGAAAGCCCTGCCTATCCGCAGACTGGCGCACCGCGTGAATTTTTCGCAGATTTGCATGTTTTCGGAACACGCGCTCGCCAAGTCGGCGCCGGCTTTGGCGCCGCACCGCCCCGGGCGGCCATTTCGGCGGACGCCGTCCGATTCTGCAGACACGCCGCGAGAACTATGCGGAGCGGAGCGGAGCGCCACGCTCGCACGGAAACGGAGAGGACTCCCACGGCCGCAGAGACCGCCCCGCCGACCACGCGGCCCGCGCGGCCCGCGCGCACGGCGTGAGCATGATTAGGACGAATGAACCGAGGCGCGAACGAACGAGGCGGCCATGAATGAATGAATGAATGAATGAATGAATGAATGTACGAATGAATGAATGAATGAATGAATGAATGAATGAATGAATGAATGAATGAATGAATGAATGAATGAATGAATGAATGAATGAATGAATGAATGAATGAATGAATGAATGAATGAATGAATGAATGAATGAATGACGAAAACAACCTGTTCCGGCGTTAAAAAGGAAAGACTCCAAAACTTCTTTTTGTCGGTGCATCGCCTAGACGCGGCGAGGCGAAGTGAGGATTTCCTGTCATTTGGAAGAGTGGCGCCGAGAGGAGTCCTTCTTCCCTGCCTACTGAGCCGGCCCGCCGCGGCCGCAGCCGGAGACAAAAGACGGCGAGTCTTGGCGCCTTTTGGGTCTGCTGCCCGAAGCACGCGGGGGACTCCCTGGACCAGAACGCGCGCTGATTGGCTGCGGAACCGGGTGGTGGCGGCTCGGTAGAGCGCCAGCCAGCAGGGAGAGGAGACATCTTCATCAGTCTGTCTCTCCCGAATGGTGCGGGGGGCAACTTCGCTTCAAAACTGAACTGTACCATGCACGACGGTCGCAGCGCTCACTGCTCTGAGACGCGAAGTGAACTCTTTCTTCTGGCGCGATCCTCTGCCGCCACGCCGCTACCGGTGTCTCGGCGCCGTGGTCTTCGACGAGACGTCCCTCGTAAACCCCGTCCACTCCGTCCACTCCGACGCCTTGGGCCTCTCCTTCCGGTTCAGAGGACTAGTTTATTTTTGCGACGGCGCCCGGATTTTCACCGCCACCGAGCAGGCCGTCAAGCAGGCCCTGGTGCCGTCGGCCCGCACTCATTTGTTTGCTGCATGTTGAGATAGGCCCCGCCGCCGTGGCCCGCCGTGGCCCGCCACCGCGCCGCCGGCAGTACCGGCTCTCACGTAACCGCGGCCCCCGCGGCCCCCGCGGCCCCGCCCCCCGCCAAGGCCGGACCCTGCATGGAGGTCGTTGGTCCTCAGGGCTCCCTTCCCTTCCAATGACCGTCCTGGCAGCCCTTTCACTTTCCAAACAACACCTGTACCGGTGCGGTGCCGCGCCTCGCCGCTGCAGGGGGCCGGCCGGCGATACGAGTCCGTCAAGTCGGCCTCGGCGGCCACGGCGAAGGCAGCGCAGCGCGTCAACGCCAGGTCACCGCCGTCCCCGCTCGGCCGGCCCGGCCGCACGTCATCGACCTGCCGCCTTTCCAGCACCACGCGCTCATTAGCCCCCTCATTAATCACCGAGGCACTTTTTGCATTACTTTGGCTCGATTTGATTTTTAATCTCCTTGATTTTTTGGCGCGAACGTTGTCGTTTAGACAGTGCTCCTTCATTTCCCCACGGCGGTGCCCTGACGGTGCGCTGGCGGTGACCCGCGGGGAAAGCACGCGTCCCCCGCACGCGTTGACGTACGCCCCGACACGCCCGCGCCGCCGCGGCCCCGCGGAGGAGGCAGGGAGATAACCGAACACGACGCGCGGGACGGGGCCGACGCGTCCCGCCCCTTCGCGGTTCAACTCGAGATTGACTTTGTCACTTTTTCGATAGGTTCATTTCGGCGCCGGGAAACACACGAGAAAATTGGGGCTCGAAAAACGGGTTCCTGGCGGCATGGCGCTGCAGCCGGTAGCGGCGGCGCGGCGCCTGGGAGGCATGGCCCCGCGGCCCGTCCGCACAGTGGGCCAGAGGACCGGTGGGGCGGCCCAACTTCTGGACGCGTTTTGAGCTCCAGAGTCGCTAAATAGGACTCGAACCGCACGTGTGACCCCACCAATGGATTGGTCTCCGAACGAGGAATCCATTGGTGGGGTCACACGTTCGGTTCGAGCCCCATTTAGCGACTCTGGAGCTCGAAACGCGTCTAGAGTTCGGGCCGCCTCCACCGGTCTTCTGGCCCACTGTGCCACGCCGCCGCCAGCGAGTCCCCCAGCCAGTGGCCCCGCCGAAGCTCGGACCGCAGGGACTTTTCCCGCCGCGAGGAAACGCATTGGGCTGCCCGCGCTGCCCGCCATCAACAAGGCCCCGGTTATTAAAACGGCACCCGCTTGGGCCGCTTTGCCTGATGAATAGCTTTGTTCTGTCGGACTGATTCGGGCCAAATTTACGGGAGGGAAACCAGAGCCGGCCCCTTGGGATAGGTCAGCAGTCGGCCGGGCCAGGCTGCAGAGCGAGTCAGTCCGTGGAGTCGCTCTGTCCCTCTCGCACGCCTGCGGCGCGCCGCACGAGTGCGAGAGAGACAGAGCGCTGCCAGCAAACAGGGAGTAGATTTATTCGGCGGAACGAAGCCATCGGCGCCATCCGCCGAGAGAGAGAGACAGCAACACGACGGGGCCGGGCGGGGAGCGAGACGGAGCGAGACGGGAACAGTGGAGGCACAGCGCGGCAAAAACCGAGCGGCACGCGTCCAGGCGTCGCGCCTGATTGGTGGACGGCCAAGCCCGGCCAAGCCCGGCAAAGCGGTGCGGTTTAGCGCTCGATCCCAGCCAGAGATAGAGGGAGAGAAAAAGCAACTGTCTGCCTTTCTGTGGGCGGGGCGCCCGGTTAGCAGGCAAGCCCGCTACACTGCCGTGTTCGGCGGGGCGGCCCACCCCGCTGGCTGCAGGCGCTCCACTGCTGTGCAACCAGCCTGTCTGCCTGTCCGCCCGTCCGCTCGTCCCAGCCATCCAGGTGGTGGCCGCTTTGCGAAACGCTGCTCCAGATTGTGGCGGATGACCGCTGTGAATGCGACACGCCAACGTCCAGCAAAGGGCATGACTTCAATTATTTCGAAAAGTAATTCCATTACCACAACCGCCGGCTTACTTTAAGCAGAGCTCGTGACGGTAAACGTTACTTCACTCGGCGCCTCCGAGAAGGAGAAGAAGAAGGAGGAGATGAGTGTCCAGCCCGAAGCGGCCAAAACTCTAGACGCATTTTGAGCTCCAGAGTCGCTAAGCAGGACTTGAACCGAACGTGTGACCCCACCAACGGATTGCTATCCGAACGAGGAATCCATTGGTGGGGTCACACATTCGGTTCGGGTCCTGTTTAGCGACTCAGGAGCTCAAAATGCGTTAGAGTTTTGGCCGCCTCCACCGGTCTTCTGGCCCACTGTGCGGTCCTTTCTTACCTTATCGCGCTCCGGGGCGAACCCTGGCGGCGGCTTGGCGAGGCAGCTGGCCGTCGCCACCAGCAGGACGAGGAGCTGCAAGCAGAGAGGACACTGTAAGTTCACTTCGATAGGATCGACACGGTTCGATTCGAGCCTCCGCCCCGCAGCTCTCTCGCGCGATGCCGCTGTAAAACTCGAGAGTTTACTTCCGTTTTACTGTTCGATTTAGCTCTTCATTTGCGCCACGCCCACCACTCAAGAGGTCGTCATTTTCAGCACGTCTATTTCACATAGGAAAGGTGGCATCGTTGTCCGAGATAGTCGAAGGCAGCGCAAAATTTGGCGACGTGTTTTTGCAGTGTGTGCGAGGGAAGAGAAGGGCATCCCGGTGTTCCCGGCGAGCGTTCCGCGCCAACGCACGGCGGCACGGCGCTCCCTGCGGCCTGTCCTCGTGTCGCTGCCGCGCCGCCTCCCTTGCCTCCCTTTCCCGAGATCCCCGCGCTCGATTTGCGATCCCTAAACAAAGGGATCGGACCGCAGCCCACACTGCCAACACCGCCAGCGCCGCCAGCACCGCCAGCTCGGTCCGCGCCGTGGTCGATAGATCGTGAAAATCGGCGTGCGGAAACTTTCCTGGCGGGTCTTCGCGGCGTGGCGCGCCGTCCTCCCGCACAGTGGGCCAGACGACCGGTGGAGGCGGCCGAAACTCTAGGCGCGTTTTGAGCTCCAGAGTCGCTAACTGGGACTCGAACCGAACGTGTGACCCCACCAATGGATTGCTCGTTCGGAGAGCAATCCATTGGTGGGGTCACACGTTCGGTTCGAGTCTCATTCAGCGACTCTGGAGCTCAAAACGCGTCTGGAGTTTGGGCCGCCTCCACCGGTCGTCTGGCCCACTGTGCCCCGCACGCCGCGCCCTGTCTCTCTCGCGCCCAGCCGGGACGCCCCGTGAGTGCGACGGAGACGGCGCGAGCGACTCTTTCTCGGCGCCGTGCTGCAGCTGCCGGACGACACGTCGGACCCCCTTTTGTGGCCGCGCAGTCACCGTTCGCAAAAATCGACTTTCCTGGTGGAACGAAATTTCGAAAAGAGACTATCATCTTTTTGCGAATGGCGGGTAAATTGTCATCTTTATACTCTGAAAACATTCCCGCCGTTTATAGAGGGGAATTGTCCATTGTCGTGCGTCGGCCGTAAAACGCTCCCCCCGTGACGTTTCAGCGCGCTACGCACCTGCGAGGGGCAGAGAGCAGAGAGAGAGAGAGAGAGAGAGAGAGAGAGAGAGAGAGAGAGAGAGAGAGAGAGAGAGAGAGCGCTGCTGGGAGATGCGCGCAGAGCAACGCAGCGAGTAGGCGAAAAAACAGAACTAGACTTCCTTCAGCGGAAAGAAAAAAAGTTGGTCCGACTAATTCGATAGCTTATTTTGCCACGACAAGGAAATTACTCGCAGAAAAAACAGAGGGGATCATTGACTGCCTCAAAGACAAGACTGGTATTTTTTCTGAAGTCAGGCGGGTGACCTTTTTTGCATGACTAAATGGGTAGGCCTGAGAGCAGCATGTAGTCAGAGTAGCTAGTAAAAGTATAAGACACTACTGATTTTTAAACGTTTGAAGGCACGCACCAGGAGAACAAAATTGTATGAAAAATTTGGTCAGGGTTAGAAACTGTGGTTTATTGTACAAAATGGTAGAAAGGACTCAGAGCGCTCGCATGGCCGTGTGTGGCCAGTGCAAATGTTCCCAAGAGGCATTCTCCTTGGCGTACACGCTGCATAAACCGTCACAACAGCAACAACTAATAATAATTGAGATAGCTGATTGATTCGCTCTGCGGGGCACGCCGAGGCAGGCCAGGGCACGCTTGGGCTTTCTGGCCGGGTACTGCCCGCCGTGCTAGCGGTGCCAGTGTGCCGGCCGAGCCGCGCCGTCGTGGCCACTCTGTCTCTCTCGCTCTGACGGGCTGCCCCACGAGAGCGAGAGAGACGGAGCGACTCGGCATCGGCCCGCTGCCGTCGCCAACGGGACGGGTTTCTCTGCAAGAGAAAACTAATTCTGCTCGACGCCAAGAATTCAAACCCCTCAAAGAGCCGCGCGCGTCGCACGCCGCGCTTTTCCAGGGAAACATATGACAGCTCAATTTACTACAAGAGCAGCCTGGGCTGCCCCCCGGCTGCCCCTCCTGGCTGCCCCTCCTGGCTGCCCCTCCTGGCTCCCCCGCGCGGCGGTGGGCTCGTCTCGACGTCCCGCGGCGCCTCCCCCTCTCTCTCACCCACACACGTGTGTGCACACACACACACACACACACCGCACAGACCTGTGGTTCGCTGCCAAAGGAAGCACCAGCGCGATTAAAATTTGACTACATTGATGATTCGAGGAACGCACGCGGCTCGCGCCCCACAGCCGGTTCGCTACAGTGCATCAGTGCGCTTCAGGGCCCCGGTGCGCGCTGCGCGTTGCGTTTACGAGCGACTCCCTTTACGAGTTCATTTGTTTGCCGAGCAGCGCAGCGCCGGCGGCTCTACGGCGTGTACACTGACAGCCCGCCCCAGGACGGGGATTTCTGGAACGTGATCAAAGTACAACTTGTTTATGGTAAACAATCGTGAAATAAATCTGTTTGCGCAAAGCATCGATGTGACAAAATGCAGCCGCATGAGAGTCAAAGCCTTCTGGTATCAGAGCGCGGCCCATTCATAACCTCTCGCCGCCGCTTTTGCCGCGAGCTGGAAGGCGGTGCGGCGGTCTCGGAACGCAACGTGCCTCCCAGTCGCTTACACAGATAAATCAACAGGTGCCCGGCACTGCCCGGCACTGCCCCGCACTACCGCAGTCAGCGTTTCACCCTTTTACGACGTGTCGCCTCCCCGCGTACAGTGTTGTGCCGTTCTTGCCCGTCTAGACGGTCTAGTCGGGCGAGGCGGCTGGCGGGCGGGGCCTAGCTGCGTTCCATCCCGACCGCCGGTGCCTCCCGCCCCGTCGCGGCCTCTGCGTTCCATCCCGCCGGTATATATCCCGCCCCGTCGTCGCGATAGTCCGTAAATTATCCCGCCGTTGCTCGCGGATTCGCGCGACTGTACTGTACTTTTTTCGCGGTGTGGTTGATGCACCTCGCCGGCGGTAGCGCCATTAGATGCGCATGACAGCGACATACGAGCGGCGGCGCGGCGGCGCGTCAGCCGGCTGCGTTCGTGAACGCGCCCCGATTGCCCCTCCGTGGTCGTTCCGGGTCAATTGGGCTGGGCGGCGCATCGCGCGAACGCACCCCGATTCGGCGCCGCGTTGCGCAACCGCTACACTGCAACAACGCAACGCACTGCAACCCTGTGCGGCTCCCGCTATCGGTTATTTCGCCCCTCGGCGCATAACTTGAACGAATTGTGCAACTCGTTGTCATTGTAATTGTAATCCGATGCACTGCAATGCGGACCGGTCGGTCGACCGCAGAGGCTGTGCCCATTGGCTGGGGCGGGAATGCACGAGGAAACGGTGCAGCACTGCACTCATAACCGTTGTGTGTGTGTGTGTGTGTGTGTGTGTGTGTGTGTGTGTGTGTGTGTGTGTGTGTGTGTTGCGGTGGGTGGAAAAAGATAGTACGGAATCAGCAGGGCGAGACAGACTGTTGTTAGTTCACAGGAAGAGTTCCTCTTTTTTGTGTGAAGTGAGGAAACAATATTATATCGCCTAGGCTATTTAATTTGCTGGTCTTCCTCTTTTTATGTAAGCAGAAGCTAGCGCTCACACTTGGGTCTGTGACTATGCGTTAGTCGTGGAATGAACTTTTTTATCCCTCTTTAAAAAGAAAAAATTTAAAACAATTATTTTTTGTAGAGTTTGGCCCAAAATTGTGTACTGGTCTACTGGTATTACGCGCACACAATTCTCAACAGGTTGGTGGTGATTTTGGAATCCCCCTCACCGTTGTAAAAATTAAGGAAAAACATTCACCAGGCGCAAAAGCGGCGCGCACGTTCAAAAGAAAGTAGCTCAACGCGCGGGAGGCCCCGATTTCAATAAACACGCCCAACCGTGAAAAGAAAAGTGTTTTCCTTTTTTTTGTTTTTTGGTGGGATTGGAGCGGCGGGCGATGCCTCGCCTCCCGCGCGTGCTACAGTGTCGAGGGGTACAGAGATGCTGCCTCCCCGCCGACGGCAAGCCGACGGCCAGCCGACCGCCAGCCGGCGCCCGGTCGCTCCCACGCCACAATGAATGGCGCGCGTTATGATGGGAAGCACGCGTGGATCGTGTTTATTCCCTCGGGAAGAGGATCCCCGGCACAGCCGCCGGCTCAGCCCAAAGGCCCCAAGACGCTCTGTCTCTCTCGCACCCAAACGACGCGCCCCACGAGTGCGAGAGAGACAGCGACGACGGAATCGGTGAGTCTACCGGCGTGCGTGTGATGCAGGCCTGCGTCAGCACGCACCACATTTTCCTTTTTTTAAAATTTGAAGCGTGGCCCGCCAAGAAACCACTGCCCAAAGTTTTCTAAAATTTCTCATTTTTTTATTTTTTAAATTTAAGTGGCAATGCAGTCCGGATGCACGGCTGTCCGTCCGCTGAGTCGGTCCTCTGAAAGCACTGACACGAACACTCACCTTGCTCGAACCCAACATGTTCACTTCGCTGTTATTCACTTGGCACTCACACACTGACACTGGGCACTTGCATTTCACACGGGCACACGCACACACACTCACACACACTTGGTGACACACACACGCGCGTGCGCGAGACGGGACGACGCCGGCGTCGCGGCGCTTCCAGGACACGTCCGGGCGTCGAGGGGATGGCAGGTTGACTGGCTGTGCTGCTGCGGCGTCGCCGCCTTGCCCGCCTCGCCGCGGCCGGCTGCAGCGTCCCTCCCACCGCGGTCCACACCCCGCCCCTCCCTCTCACTCCCTCCCTGCCCCTCTCTCTCCCTCCCCCGCTCGACCGGCCGCCGGTCCAGCGCAAGTGCACCGCGCCTCCAGAAACGCTGGCCGCCACAAAGAAAGGCCCGTCGCTGGACGCTTTGAGGTAATCGCCCGGGCCGTCTGTCGCTCTGTCTCCCTCGCACCCTTCCGGAAAGGCGCTCGGGTGCGAGAGAGACGGAGCGACGAGAGGTCGGCCGGCTTTCGTCGGGAGGACCCGACGGGCTAAGCAGGGCTTTCAATGCCCACTCCGGGTCGGAAGCCTGCGTGTCGGAGAAGTTCTCTGTCTGGCAACGCCGGAGGGTCGAGGACGCTGCGGTGAAGTGCGCGTGTACTGACTAAGCACGCTGAACTACTGTGTGCACAGTCCATCTTGTAGATAAGGTCAAGGTGGGCCCCACGGAGGGCTCCAAAAAGGATCCGGGGAAGCTCCCACGACAACACGGCCAGCGGCCAGGCAGCCAGGCTGCGAGGGGCTCCATAAGCCCTCTCAAAGAAGTAGGCCCCGGCGAAGCTACCTGCAGCCAGCAAACTCCATGTATAATGCAAAGAGGCTAACACGGGCTTTGTTTGGGAACAAGTGGGAACTGCTTCTTTTTTTGTTGCAGGGTGTGTCCGCGTGTGTCTGTGTGAGTCTGTGTGTGTTGCGGACGGGCAGCAGGGCAGGGGTCATGCCCCGAAGCCTTACACGTCGCTGTGTGTGTTGGTGTGTGTGTGAGCTGCCTGTAGGGGCACACCAGCCGGCCGGCGTGCAATGCGTGCAGCCGGCAGGAGTGAAAGGCAAAAGGTGCGTAAAAATAATCCTCTAGCACTAACTCCGATTGGAGTGAGTGTGCGTGTGCGTTTGGCTGCCTGTGTGTGTCTGTGCGAGTGTGTGAGTGTGTGTGTGTGCGGTGCATTCGTCCCTGTCGATCATGCAACAAGGCGTGATTGATTACTGTTTGTCCACGACCCCCCGAGGGGCTCAGAGGGGCGCAGAGAGGCCCAGAGGAGCCTGGAGGGGCCTGGAGCATCCGCTCCTGGAAAGAGATCGCCCGCTAGGTTATTAGCTGCCGCCTTGTCCGCGGGCTGCGGACCGAGTCGCGCTCTGTCTGTCTCGAGGCCCGCGAGTGCTAGAGAGACCGTGTTCGGAAAGCAGCTGAGGTGCCGTGCTCGCCACACCGGGCCACGCGACGCCCGGGGACGGTATTATGTGCGTCTTGTCCAGGACCACGTCGCAGACACCACGTCGCGGACACCGCGTCGCGGACACCACGTCGCGGACACCGCCTCGTGGACGCCACGTCGCAGACACCACGTCGCCGCGCGCCGCCGCCCTGCCGGATGGAAAGTCCACTGGCCAGTCCGTGCAACCTGTCCAAATTAGAACGACTACTGATAGGTCTCAACAAGCTGAGCCGCGCTGTCCTAGGCCTGGGCGGGCCTTGGCGGGCCTCAGCGTCTCGGCCAGGGTGTGCCAGTGTAGGACGACCTGGCGGGGCGAGCCCGGACGGCGAGGACGGCCCGCCCAGTGTCACTCGGCCCACCGCGTCCCATCGCCCTGTCTCTCTCACTCCAGTGAGGCACGCCGAGGGAGTGCGAGAGAGACAGGGCGACGACCGCGCCCCGCCCCTCCTCGCTTCCCTGGAGGGCCTGCCCGGCCGGGAAGGATTCGCCGCTGACAATTACGATCAACGCCGAGTCACTGGTTCCCTGGTTCGACCCACACCGGCCCCCGTTTTTCTCCTTTCCTCGGTGCATCGCGATGACATAACGCTTGATTAGAAATCAGTGCAAGATGCTGACCAGTCTTTTTTCCTGCCGAATCGCCCCGAATCGGGTTAATGCGTCTCGACGTGCCGCCCCGCGCCCCGCCCTTACGCAACCCAGTGTGGGCTGCCTGCCTGGCTGGCCGGCTGCCCTGACAGTACGCGGAACGCAGGACCAATCCGAGGACCTAACCTCACCTCAGGCTGGTTGGCTGGCCGGCTGCGAGGAACCGGACCAGAACAACAACAGGAACCCGCCGGATAGGCCGGGCCGGGACGGGCGGGCCCGGACCAGCTCCACGCACTGCACGTCGATCTCTTTGGCCGAGAGACGCCGAGGCGGTGTCGCCGCCGGCGCCGCGATTCTAGAGAACAGGAAGGCCGATGCCATGGACCGACGCCGAAACCGACCAATCTCTACTCGCCAATTGTTGACACACTGCTGGAAATTCGCGGGGCGCGTCATTACCTGGAGAAAGTGAGCCTCGTCCTCGTCCCGATCCTCGATATCGCTCCGGACATCGCGCGAGGAGTACCCGTCGGCCCGCACCACGGCGACGAACCGCCGAAAGGACCACGGTGACCGCGGTCGAGTGGAACTCCGCCAGGAACACGCGTTAGATTGCTTTGTCTTGATTGCAAATCCAGGCTCTCTCGTCTGAGCAGTCACCGGAGCGCCTGAGAGGTAGGCAGTATGGCACTCGCCTGTTCGGCGGGGCGGCCTATCCCGCAGTTCGCAGGCGTTCCCGCGCTCACGGCGGGTCTTCCTGGATTTTTCCGCCTTTTCTCTCCGTCTGCCTGTTTATCTGTCGGTCGGTCTGCCGTGCGTCGATCGCAGCCGCTGCCCGCTTGTGCGTTCCCCTGCAAACTGTGGAGACCGCTTGCAGGGCAATCAAGCAGCACACCATGCACTTGGCTCGGACAATCGCTTGCTGGAGCCTCCAGAGGCCGCTCCAGAAGCCAGACAGACAGACGGACAGACGGAGACTGTGCGCGACAACATCAGGGCGTTTTGGCGTCCGTATGCACAATTAGGGGCCAGGCTGGCGGAGCGCAATGTAATGCACTCCGTGCATTGCACTCCCTTGTCCCTTCGGTGGGCAGGCCGTTTGCATAAGTAGAGGCCAGTTAGAGGCCTCGTCTTGTACAGCATGAATCGGAGCGCTCTCCTTTCCGAAGCAAAAAGAATGCTCGCAAAAAAAAAGTTTTTGTGTTTTGATAAAAACGGAAGGAGTCTTACGCCTTATATTACCCCGCACGAGATAAACGATGTCGTTCTTCGGTACCTCCGGTATAGGTCCAGCAGCAGCGCGAGAGGCGGTCTTTACCGTCGCGTGGCGTGCCAAGACGCGTGCCAGGACGCGTGCCGCTACGAGGACTTCCTCTCCACACGGGCGGCTGTGAAAGGCTTTCCGCGCAAGCCGGGACGGGACCGCCGCCTCTAGTGTGGCCGGGCAGCCGGGCAGGCAGCCGGGGATGCTCCACGCTCCATGGGACATAAATCGCAAAACAGGAAACAGCGGCGGCGCGCGCTTCCGACATAGGGGGGGGGGGATCCTCGGCGTGCCAGGACACTAGGTTTTTTCGCGAACCCGCCGGCCAGCCGGCCAGGTTGGAACCGTCTTCATAATCACACCGTTAAAAATAAATTGGAAAATCCAAAAGAAAGAGAGCATTTTTTTAAAAAATGCTTAAAATTTCCAAAAGCCCCGAAATTGTTTTTGCAGTATACCTGCCGGGAACTCATTCAAAATTAACACATTGGGGGTTTGAAAATTTGCTCCGAAATCAGGGGCACTTTTAAGCCTCTTTTAAACAGTGAACAGGAAGAACAACAAAGACAAAGAACAACAATAAGAACAGGGCCGGTGTGGCCGTCTTCATTTCCATCGTCACGTTGGAGGTAATCGCAAAAAGGGCACAGCGCGGCGTTCGCAGTGAAACTGTGAAACTCTCCGTCCCCGCAACACGAGCATCTCCAAAGACAACAACAACAAAAACAACAGCAACAACAAGCAGCAGAGCAGCTGCCTTCCCATTCGACTTTCGTACGTGCGAATCGCTTATCAAGTTTCGAGAAAGACTCAGCACCTTGCCCCGCGTCGTCGCCCGGCCTGCAATGCAAGCCAGATGCGGCCCGGGCGGTGAGATGCAGCGGCGAAAACGGCAACAAGATCAACAAAAACAACACTTTTCGAAATCTGCCTGCATCCGCCCGGAGTCGTGAATAAACGATGACAGCTTTGCATCCGAATCGGCCAATCGTCGTCCAGTCGGACGGCCTGCCTCGCCTGGCCTGGGCCTTGCCCTTCGAGAGAGACGGCGCGATTTACGAGTGGACCGCCACTCACGGAGGAGTGCGCTCATTGAAATCAGTCTCACTCGCTCACGCATTTTCTCCGATCCTTTTCCAGCTTTTCTCCATGCCTGCCAGCTTAAAACTTTTACCTGCTCGGGTTCAGTCGGGACACCTATCCCCCGGGTGGGGCGTGGGTGGCTGCTGCGCTTGTCAGCGAAACGGGTTCGGGACGGTGACAGTCACGCCCAGCGGACGCACGGACGGACAGACAGACGGGTGGACAAAAAGACAACAGGCAGACAGACAGGCGGTGCACAGCAAGGCGGGGGAGCGCCTGCAGACCACGGGGCGGGCTGCCCCGCCGAACACCGGAGTCTGGATTGCCTACCCAGCAGGCGCTCCCACCCGCCGAGCCAGCCGCCTGATCGCTCCTATTTCTTTCGTCCTATCGAAGACCGTACTTTCTACACGACGGAACTGCACTTACGAAAATGCAGGGTTGTCACTTAGCGGGGCGTAACGATGCAGCGGGCAGCGGATATGACTCGATCAACCTTCATTTTCTCTAGCGGCCAATTAGTAAAGTTCTCCGACTTTTTTACGCGCTGACATGTTCATCCGACAGTCATAACACCCAACCGACACTTTTGCGCTTTTTTCGGCGGAAGCTGGCACGCATCCTCGTTCCGTTGCCCAACTGAGAAGTGAAAGAAAGAGAGAGAGGGGGGAGCGGGCTGGGGAGTGAAAGAAAGAGCGAGAGGGACGGAGGCGGTGGACAGTGTGGCGGCCGCGGCGGCACGGCACTGGGATGGGCTGGCCGGGCCG